TTTAGCAGTACAATGAAGTCTAGCACGTGTGTGATTGGTGTCAAATGCTGTACATGTGGACTTCCAAAAACTCCTTAATAAAAGGAACTCATCACTCTGTACGTCCTGCGTCTGGGTCTCCATCCACCTCCAATCGCAGCCCCCTGCCCAGCTGAGGTTATTTCCCTGGGGCTCTCAGCGCTGGGAGCATCTCGCATGCCCAGAGCAGCTCCTGGCAGGGAGCACTGCTCACGTGAAAGAGAAATGGCTCTGCGGAGCAAAGCTGACTGCAGCAGCTGCTGCCTGCCTGCCTCCCTCCCTTTTATGCCAACCCCAGAGAGGGCTGGGCCTAGGTGTCTTTCTGCTGCCAACAACTTAGAATTACCCAAAGGCCACGCTCCCAGCTAATGCCCCTGGAAGTGTTTTCCCCACCCAACCCTTGCATGCTCCTTTCCCGTATGCTGGCTCTCGCCACCCGGCTCTCTGCACCGGCGCCAGCCTCCGTCAGAATTTACCATGCTGGCAGGAGGAAGTGGGTTCACTTGAAGAAAACTAGGACTAATTACTGCCGGCCTGGCCGAGCTTTGATCGGCAGCAGCCTTTCCCGCCATCGAACCTGCCGGGAACCCGTCTGCTGCACCTTGGCAGCCGCTCTGAGAGAGGAGCAGCTTCAGTTCAGAGGTTAAACAAGCATATTTGCTTTTCTAAATATAAAAGCCCAGATCATTTCTATGGCTAGAGTCTTAAAGGGACAGCTCCTCACCCAGCGTACGACCGTGTAGCGCTCATGAAGCTTTGCTGATTTACTGCAGTTGAGGGTCTGGCCCCAAATTCAATCCACCTCATTGGGGTGGATTTCCAAGCCCTTCACAAAAATTAGTTGGGTCTCTCAACCCCTCTATGACACAGGTCAGTGTTAACATCCCTGTTCTATAGATGGGGAAACTGAGGCACAGAGAGTAAGTGACCTGCCAAGGCTGTTCAGAGAGTCAGTGGCAGAAGTAGGAACAAAGCTCAGGGGTTCCTGGCTCCCGGGCCCACGTTTGTTCCACTAGGCCATGCTGCCAGAAGACAAGGAGCCAGAAGAGTGGTTGGTAAACCGCAACCTGCACCATGGGTTGGGGGAAGGAAAATCAACGCCAGAAATACAAACCCAGCCCAGGCTTTCTTGGCTGAGACAGGTGAGACACGCAGGAAATACCCCATGCTGCCAAAGAATGCAGCCACCTCCCTGTTCCTGCTAACCCCCCCTTGATGAGCCGTGGGCCAAGGGCACAAGGTTGGGGGAGGGATGTCTCACACTGAGGGGCAATGCCCATTCAACAGCAGCCTTGTCAGGCTAGCAGAGAGGCGCACATCATGCCCACCAGCCATGGGCCAGGCCTTCCGCTCCAGTGCAGATTTGGAGCCAATGCAGAATGGCATTTCCCCCTGCAGCCCTTCCCAGCTGGGGTGGGCGCTGCGGCTGAGCGTCCTGCATCTGACACTGGCTGGGGCGGGGGGATGGGAGATGGGTGAAGGGAGAGACTTGGACAATTCGTTGGGCTCCTGGCAGGGACGGTTCCCAGAAAAGCTGGCTAGGGAAGAACGTCAATGAGAAAAGTTTGCCCTCATGGAGCAGAGCTGGAAGCTGGAGGGGTGGGGGCCAGGCAGAGGGTCACAACAACCAATGCCACCCAGCACCTTCAGTCCCAGTGCTATATGTGTGTGCAATTCAGGGGGTCCTTCTTAGACCCCCTGCTGCTTTGGGGTGTCCAGAGACCAGCCGTGACCGTGAGCTCTTTTGTCCATCTCCACTTGGCCAGGCCCCTCCTTCCGCTGTGCAGACAGTCCGGCCCCTGCGCACTGATGCTCTCCCTGGGGCCACCACTGAAGGCCACTTGGAAACATCAACTGGTGCAGAACACAGCTGCTTGCTCGCCTAGTGGTAGCTCGTGGCTGGACACAGTGTATCACCCCCATGCTCCAGAAGGCTCTCCAGGTGCAATCCCTTATGGTGATTTGAACCCACACATTCCTTCATGGCGTTGGTGCTGCATGCCTTGGAGAGATGCTTCACTCCTCATGCTCTAGCCCAGCCATGACGTAGGAACGGACAGTCTCTTGATCTGGAATCCTCTCTTCCTTGGCCCAATGGAGTTGGTTTACCATCTGGGCACGTAAGGTCCCACTAGCCACGGAGGCTTTTCCAGATGGGTGGTCAGTTGGTGTCCCAGCCGGACGGCAGTTGAAGGGATCTCTCTTTTGCCGTTAATTGATGTAGTTTCAGGTCCCATGGGTGCATGGCACTGTTCACGCACACCTAGAGCCTGCAGCAGCCCCCTCGGCGAGATGGCGACAAGAAACCATCAAGCAGGCAGTTACAATCCAGGAGTAACTCTCGGATTCATAGATATTTAGGTCAGAAGGGACCATTATGATCATCTAGTCTGACCTCCTGCACAACGCAGGCCACAGAATCTCACCCACCCACTCCTGTGAAAAACCTCTCACCTATATCTGAGCTATTGAAGTCCTCAAATCGTGGTTTAAAGACTTCAAGGAGCAGAGAATCCTCCAGCAAATGACCCGTGCCCCATGCTACACAGGAAGGCGAAAAACCTCCAGGGCCTCTTCCAATCTGCCCTGGAGGAAAATTCCTTCCCGACCCCAAATATGGCGATCAGCTAAACCCTGAGCATATGGGCAAGATCCCTGAGCACAGGGCAGGAACTCCGCTGGCCAGAGCTGCCCATTGCCTTTGCTGCCAGCCGAGGGTGACTCACAGCTAGTTAACAAAGCGGGTCCGGGGCTGCTTTCTCCAAATGAGGTGGCAAATCAAAGGAGTGCGTTAAGGACCCTAATCAGAGCCAGCTCACTGCTCCCATTGTGGCTGCTCAGACAGGCCCAATCAGTCAGCGGTCTAATCTCCATCTCCACCCAGCTTTCCAATGGGATCCCAGCCTCTGGAATGTGCAGCAATAAACCCACTGAGCCCCCCGTGGCTGGGGGGGGGGACGACGACGACGACGACTTGATCATTAACGCTGCAGCTTATTTAAAGGAGTCAAAGCCCAGCTGCCTGGCTCATCCTGGTCTCCGGTGCAGCTCTGCATAGACTGGTTACCCAAGCAGAAGGAGCAAGGTAAGCAGGGCTCTGCCACTGGGAGAACTGACTTGCTGCATGAGATGCTCTTCCCCTGTCCTAGGCCCCGGGGGCCCGGAGCAGCCTCCGCTCTCACTGGAGTCAGTGAGGGAGCTGCAAGCTCTCAGGAACAGGCTGGATGGGCCACATCTGCGGCCCTGTGCTGGGTAAGGAGCAGAGCGCTCCAGGTACCCGCTAACCACAGCTCCTCACGGCCCTCGGCCGAGGGGCTATCAGGCCTGCTGTGGAGTCCCTAAAAGGGGGGAAGGTGGTTCCCAAGCCAGTCCAGCCTTTACATCAACACCTGGCAGCCTGGCGAGCTCCTTTGCAAGTGGCTGACGAGGGCCAGAGCCCAGGGCGCGAATGAGGAGCAGATATCTCCATGGGAAAGCGAGGCCCCCCCAGAGCCCTCCTCCGCCTGTCTCCCCCCAGCAGCTCCCAGGCACAGTTGTCTCCCGGTCCTCGTGCTTTGATTTTAAGCGTTCTGAAGTTGCCACATCCAGCGAGGAGCGGGGTTTGCCACAGCCCCGGTGCAGCTTGGACAGCCATGGCTGTCCCTCAGGCCCCCGCCCCCTGACAGTCCTGGGGGTAGCAGCACAGAGACAACCATGGGAGTTCAGACTCCAGGCTCCTGGGGCACAGACACCCACCCATAAAGGAGATGGGCCACCCGCCCACGCGACACAGGGCCCTACACAGCCGCAGCTTCCTCGCCTGGCTCTGGGTGCAGGGACTTTAACGGAAAGGATTTCCTGGGAAAACATCTTCTCCCTTAGGCCAACCCTCCCCACCGTCCTTTACAGAGAGGGAAACTGAGGCATAGAGCCATCGTGCAACTTGCCCAAAGTCACAGTATGGTAGTTCTAAGAATGCAACCTCAGTCTCCTGCTCTCTCTGGTACGGGACAGTTCCCTGCTTTGATCACTAGACCACGCTGCCACCATGTCAGCGGGAGGCTTCGGAGCCTCATCAAAAGAGGCATCAAGCCTCTTTACTGAATGCCATTAGCCACTGGTGCCATTAGCCACTGGTGCCATTAGCGCCATTAGCCACTGGTGCCATTAGCGCCATTAGCCAGTGGTGCCATTAGCTTTGCTCTGTAGTAGAAAGTGGAGGATTGTTCAGGTGAGTGCACTGAAGCTTTCCTTGCAGTGCCCCTGGGAGAAGCCTACAACTTGAGATCCCATCATTATAATGAAAGGGTCCTGGCCTACGGTCCGTCAACCCTCGCCCAGGCAGAGCTGTGCTCTTCCCATGTGGCAAACCAGGCGAGTGCAGCAGGATTTGAACATATAGCGCACAGGGTACGTCTACCCTACAGCCGGGTGCAACTCTCATGGGAACACAGAGCCGCCCCAGCAGGGCTTGAGCGAGGGGGCTCAGTGTGGGTACTGCAGCTCGGGCTCTGCTCCATCTCCCTGGGTTGGGAGGCTCGCTCTCAGTGGCAGCGTAGTCAATACCCAGAGACCCCCAAGCACCTAGAGAGAATGCGAGTGTAGCAGAGACGGGCACCAGGCCAGTGGGGCAATCAGCTCACACATCCGACCCCAGACCCTACTGAGCGGGGCTTGGCAAGGAACTTCCAGCACGAGCCATTCGATGCTGGGGAAGATTTCAAATCGGCCCCTAGGGACTGCCAGGCCAGATCCTGCTCTGCTGGGTGCCACAACAGACAGGCAGGCAGGCGACTCGGCTCAGCTGCTTTGCAGAACCTCGCCGCTGAACTCTTGGGTGCGGCTTCTCTCTCACCCTGAGCAGGGACTGGTTGGCTGGGGGGTTCTTCTGCACTGGGAGCCTCATTAAGCGGTGGCTGCTTTTAGAGGAGGTGCTGACATCTGGGAAGAGGTCCACTTACAGGCACATGCCTCCATTGTTCTTTTCCATTCCCACCACCCAGATGAAGGCTCCCTACTCCTTCTTCTGTCTCCTCTTTTTGAGCTTGGCAGCCTGTGTCCCTCCTGACGACAGAAAGGAAACGGGAGAGCCAGGGGACGGGATCCGGTTTGAGACAAGCTGGCAGGGACCGGCAGACGACGCCTCTCAGAACGGCCTGTGGAGGGAAGTGCTGTGGTGGAGGAGATTCGAAGACCTCCGTTCCCTGTTCAGCGTGGCCAAGGAGCTCCAGGGCTTTGGCAAGGAGAGGGCTGGCTTCAGGTTCAGGTTCGGGAGGCAGGAAAGCCGGGAAGAGGAAGGCGAAGGGGTCGGTTTCCTGCGGGGGGACGGTGAGAAGCGCAGCAGCACCCTGGGGAACCTGGCGGAGGAGCTCAATGGCTACAACAGGAAGAAAGGGGGATTCAGCTTCCGCTTTGGCAGAAGATGAAGGACTGGACTTGACTGAGTCACCCCGGGGGGTCATACCCTTTACTCTGCCCTTCCCAACTCCTGCCATCTCCAGCCAAAGAAGTGCTTCGGGTCCCATTCTCTTCTACCCTGCCCGCTAATTTCCCTTGGAGAAGAGGGTTCGGGGAGGTTGCTATTTTTGGGTACCACACTCTCTCCATCACTTTCAACTCTGTCTCAGATATCACATCCCCACCTCAGTGTCCATGTCCCTGCTAGGCCAGGCCCCCGATCGGGGACTCGGGGGGTGGGAGAGAAAAGGAGGGTGGGTGTTAAAACCCCGGCACCTTGTGCTGCCTTTGCTGGAGCTCACTATAAGTAACCGGGGGCCGAGCAGTGTTCATGCTGCCCCTGATTGTTCTGAGCAGTCGCCCGCTCCACTGTCAGGACATTGAGCGGGGTGCGCTGCTATGAATAAGAATCAGCAGACCCAGCGCTGCCGTGCTGGTAAGTTAAAGTAGAGAGACTGAATGATTATAGGGGGATAATCAAAGTGTTGACAGGCTCCATAGGGACTGCCTGGAGCTGACATCTGGAATACGGCTGTGAATGAGGAATAGGTCCCACTGGGCACGGTGTACAGTTCTAAAAGCTCCTGCTCTCTCTCATTAACACAAACTCCCTCCGGCAGCAAATGCTGTTCAGTGTCACGATGCCATTTACAACAGGATTGCTCCTGCGTGCAAACCAGGACCAGGCAAAATGGCCCAATAAACTGTCATCCTTCAAAATCCCACAGAGCGAGTATGCCAGTCCAGCCATCGGATAGGGGCCAGGCTAGATCCTGAAGCATTGCTGTCTCCCAGATCCGACTCGGACAGCTTTTGTTAACCGCTGTCATACTGACGCGGGACCGGCTGACCGACAATAGCGTTGCAGAGCAAGCCCAGATCTTTGCCTTGCTGCTGAATTGTGCCCGCTTTAGCCACTTGGGCCTTGCCTCCACGCCCATGTTGGTTAAACAGTCCCAGTGCTGGCGAAGTGCGGGGAGTGCCAAGTGCAGCTTGGTTGCTGACATTTTAAGCACAGCGTCATCTACCCCCAGGACACTGTGGTGGAGACGCCAGTGGCTGGTGCCCACTAACACTGCTGCCAACTCTACCACTAGTGAAGCTTCACCACTGGGAGGGCTTAGCAGAAAAAATACAGAGCCAGCACGGCCCTGCAGACTGAGCCTGATTCTCAGCGCTGGCCTCTCTTTTTTGCAGATGCTGTTTTGTAACTAACTGCATCCTACTGGGCATGCTTTTCCGTGCCCTCCATCAATGGCAGGCACAAATATGAATAATTAGAGGTCCGATTACCTGGAGGTGATAAGGGGCTAATGGCTACTAATATTTCACCGCAGGCACACAGAGTAGTGGCAATTATTTGCAGGTGCTGAACTGCACTCTCGAAAGCAGAGAGCATGTCAAGACTTGGCTGAAAAGCCAGGCTCCAAAAGGGGCACTGTAATGCACATTGTGCAGGCAGCCCTCTCAAAACCAGCGCCTCCCTCAGAGGCCAGCACAAATTACCCTCTTAGTTGACTCGAACTATACTCGAAATGGCGTGCGAATACTTCCAGTGGGTTACCCGAGACCTGGGTATGGTGCAGATTTCTCTGGATAGAGAAGTGGACCCGATTCTGGTTTCAGTTACACTGATGTAAAACTGGATTTGCAAGGGAGCTATTCTGTATTTACAGTGATGTGAGAGCAGAATCCCCCCCGCCCGGTACAACAAGCACATTACCCACACCCAGGTCACCCGAAGGATTAACTTGACTGGCTGCCTGGAAGGCGGCTGCTATTTGAAGGGGAGAGGCGAGGCAGGGCATTTTTCCTTCCCTCACCTTCCAGCGCTGTAACTGAGCGCTCACTGCAAGCAGCATTCAAAATATAAAGGGGCCCAAGCAGCACTCAGCATGTCCAAGCCAAAACGGACTCAACCGGGGGAAAGGAGTCAGATACGTTTCAAAATGCACTTTTGGTCCTCCTCTAATCCCAGCCCACGAAAGGCCCCGAGTTCAGAGAACACACGTGCACCAGTCTGATTGAACAGCAGAGCTGGGGAGCGGTTATTGATGTTACTATGGCAACCCCTCTCTCTTTTTCCCTTTGTGAATGTTCAAATCAGTAAATATCCACTCGTCAATTTTACGCAGAGCTGCCAGGAGGACAGCTGCGTTTTTACACACAGCTCAGCGAGAGTCGGGAGCATTAAATATTTCACCCCGAGAACCTTGCGTTTTGTTAGGGAAAACCCATTGCTCTGCAGCGGTGACACTTGGCAGGGAAGAGCAGCTTTGCCCACTTTGGGAGAGGAAGTGAAGTCTAGTGATTAGAGCAGGGGGCTGGGAAGCCAGGACTCTGGGGGTTCTGTTCCCAGCTCTGGGAGGGACGCAGGGTCTAGTGGCTTGAACAGGGGACTGTATGCAAATGTTTGTACAAGATTATTATAAAGGGACAAAACTATCTGCCATTAGGGCAACTTCTTACAAGCTAGAGACTTTCATTTTGCTTACCTGGTGACTGGAGCAGACCTAGGTGTGTCCAAGCTTGGTTTCAGACAGCTTTATCCTGCAGGGGCAACAGCTGCATTGTCATCTTCAGCAGGAAGGAAAGAGCCACCTGCAGGGCTGTGATGTGCCACAGGCTGGCCAGGATCTGCTGGGTAAGCAGTGCTTCCTTGGAAGGGAGATAGGCAAGTCTTTCGCTGGCTTGGGTTCCAAGGGATGCTCTGAGCAGGTCATTCTTGCTTCAGGTTAGTTTTCACTAGATACTGAGGGAGGGGCCAGCTGGGGGGGGGGAGTGTGGTGAGGGTGGGGGGCAGTGGAATGGAGAATAACTCCTTGAAGCACAGTTTTGTATTTGCTCGAAACATTTTATTCCTCTCCCCGCGACCAATCCCCAGGACGGTGGAAGGGCCCAGCTCCACTGCCCCTCATCCTGAAAGGCCACTCCACTTTGGCCTTCAGGTTCTCTTCCCAGTCCTGCTCACTCTGGGGACACCAGCTCCCCCACTTCCTTATGGCCGCTCCTTACCTCTGATGAGAGCGGAGGGCTTTGCTCCCAGTATAGGCCACCAGATGGCGCGAGAGCTCAGGGGCACACAGCTGGCGTTCTGCCCTCGCAGCTCAGAGTCTGGCCAGCTCTCAGGGCGTTGGGCGATGTGTTGTTCAGAAGCACCAAGTGCCTCTGACGATTAGGCCAAGGCCCGTGTGCCTTTGGTGGTAGCGAGAGCACCAATGCCAAGCCCCAGCACCAGGGAAGGGACCGTTTCTTTAAAGAATTCCCTTGCCATTTAAAAACTATCGACAATGCAAGGGGGAGGCTAGTTTTCAGCTTTACCGGAGACTTTTCAAGCGTCAGGAGCTTGCTCTGAGTGGGGACTGGCCAACCTCATGCCGCGGGAAGACTTTTCAAGGGGAAGAGTGCAGCCCGGCAGAGCTCTGCTGTGAATCCCAGCTTTCCGTCAGGGCCAGGGCACCCTGGCTGTCCAGTCTCCAGACTAACCTTGCCCAGGGCCTTTCAAATTCATCTCAGACCGTGCTCCCCTTCTTGATCGTTCGCTTTCCTGGTGGCCAGCCTCTCTTCTGCAAATAGCCAGACATCAGACCTTGTCAACACTGGTTTACACACACTGCTTACTCACGTACTTCCTGCACCAAGTCCCTTTTCCACTGCTGAGAGACCCAGAGACAGCCCTTCTCCCCCACCTCCCCTGCAGGGTTTGTTCTTGCCGGGTAAGCTAGAGCTAACCATCCATGTTTTAACTTTATCTTGAGCGGAGCTGCAGCCTTGCGAAGTCCAAGGTGGTGGCAGAGTTTGGGATCCCAGATGGGTCCATCCGCACAGGAAGCCCCAACAGCGTTTCAGTCATGTTGTGGGGGGAAGGGCAGAGCTACCGTGTTATAACAATCTCCCAGCGTTGTCTCTTTGCACTGAGAACTGTGTTATTAAAAGCTGTCCTGAGTGGTGCACTAGCTGGGGTGGCCAGCCTCTCAGATAAGCTTCCCCCGGGACTAGAACCCCTGCTGGAAAGGTAATAATAGACAGAGGCTCAGGAACACTTACTGATCAGCGGAGAATTCAAGCCAAACAACGGGGGATACTGCCAGAGAAACATTGGCAGCACAAGTCCATACCAAGATTTCCCTGTAGTTGGCAACATTTTCCCCCATTGGGAGAGGTGCTTGTCTAGCAGCATCTCTGCAGGATAGGAGGCTTCGTGTGGGTAGAGGGGACTCATTTATTTTTTGTCAATGAACATTGACCATATTTTGAATCTTGTGACAAGTGATTTCCTCAGCAAAGCTGCCGCTAAAAGGGCACGATGCATTTGAGGAAAACCTGACAGGGAGCATTACCATTTCAAACGAAACAAAAGCATTTTCTCCCCTGAGCACTCACTCACTTTCAGGTTCAATAACCCAGAAAATTGGAGCAACCAACCTGTTAAATGCATCAATCTGTTAAATCAATTCCCACGGTATCTGGCTACGTTTAGGGCTTGTCTACACTTAAAATGCTAGGGCAGCACAGCGGTGCAACTGTAGCGCTTCAGTGTAGACACTCCCTACGCCGACAGGAGGGATTTTCCCATCAGCGTAGGTAAACCACCTCCCCAAGAGGCAGTAACTTGGCCAACAGGAGGATTCTTCCCTTGAGCTAGACAGTGCTCAAGGGTGTGGATTTTTCACACCCGAGTGATGCAGTTATACTGACCCAATTTTCTAGTGCAGACCAGGCCTGAGTGTTTTACCTCCTTTCCCCCCTTCTAATCCTGTATTTCCTGATGCTTTCCCCACCAGCCAACTGACCTCCCCTCTCCCAAAGATTATGGTCCACATTAAGAGAGAGAAGGATTTTCAGGAATGATTTCATTTGGCATGTAGCCCCACCACCTCTTTCTTGCTCTACAATCCTTCCTACCCCAATCCAAAGCCAGCGCAGCATCTACCCGCAGCGGGCAGCTATTAACTGTATCCATGTCGTTCTGTTGAGATGTAAATCTAAAACATTCTAGGTGTGGATCTCTCCAAGGGCCATTGTCATAAAATAATTGTGAACTTCCTGTACTTTCGTGTGCATTTTTTGTTGGATGAAACCAGTCTAGTAAAGAATTAATCCAGGACTTGCTAAGAGTGGCACCAATTTTGCCACTAATAAAATTTATACTTACCTATTGCACATCCCTGCTTTTATTTTTTTTTAAACAACCTTCTGCTAATTAAGTAATGGTTCAATCTCACCTGCATATCAGCAACTGCAACTGGACAAATGTTCTGATGAACTCCTATGCCCCATATAAAGGTTTCCGCTCCCTTTATCATGCATGCTAAATCTTTCAGGAGATCAGGATTCTGGTCCCTTACTGAGCTCTGTTACTGACCTGTTACATGAGTTTGGGCAAGTCACTTCACCTCTCTTTGCCTTCTCACCCTTGACCTGGTCTGCCTCGAGTATAAGCTAGCTGGGGCAGGGACTATCTCTGTGTCTGCATGTCGCCTAGTACAATGGATATAAGGATATGACGAATCTGAGATTTGCTGACTGGTCAAGAAGGAATCCTCTGGACTGTTCCATCAGCAGTGGTTAAGCTCAGGGGGCAGCACACAATGGTCAACAGAGGTCTTAGCTCATCCATCACTCCACAACCAAAGCCTTTTAGGAGCTTGGGAATTTCTGCCAATTTCACGCTAAGAATCCGAGAGCCAGGAGGGAGAATCCTGGCAGCAGCTCTCTCTGGAGCAGTACCCTTCCCAATT